TAAGTAAAGTGTTTTTTTTAATTGGATGTGCAGAGAGAGAGCTTTGTGTTTGTCGGTCCTATTGAGATCCACTTCACTTTTAACATAAAAATGCAGTTATATTCTGAAGATCTGGATTTTCAAATTAAGTGTCTTTCTTATTTTTATTTGTAGAATAACTTTAAGGTGGAGGATGGAGAAGATCTTCGACATGATTTTGAAAGGTTGAAGCAAGCAATGGAAATGGTTGGATTCCTCCCAGCTACTAGAAAACAGTGTGTATCTTTCTTTTCAAGCTCTTGTAGAAATAAGGCTCCATATACACGAGCCTACTCTGACCGCCGGCCACGGGAAAACACAAATTGCGGCAAAACCGCAGGGTGTCTTGCCATGTTTTCCTGTGGTCGGCGGTCAAAATGTTCCTATCCTGAACGCGTTTCTTCTGCGTGGCAGCTCCTAAACTCTGGTAAAAGCCTATGTATACATTATTATTATTATTATACAGTATTTATAAAGCGCCAATAGTTCGCTCAGCGCTCTACATTACAAAGGGGGACAGAACATGTGACAGAACAATACCAATACAATGCAAAAATATGAGGGGATCGAGGGCCCTGCTCTTTCGAGCTTACAATCTAGGAGGGAGGGGGGGTGGTGGCACAGGAGGAGATAGCTGTGGGGGATGGAGTGGTAGGAAGAGTGGAGGAGGTCGGCAAGATAGCAGGGGGTGGGGTAGGCTTCCCTGAAGAGATGGGTTTTCAGGGTGCGCCTAAAGGAGAGGAGAGTAGGTGATAATCTGATGGGTTGGGGCAGGGAGTTCCAGAGGATGGGTGACACCCTGGAGAAGTCCTGGAGGCGGGCATGGGAGGAGGAGACCAGGGAACTACAGAGAAGGAGGTCTTGTGAGGAGCGCGGAGTGTGCGTGCTGGGGGTACTTGGATATTAGGTCAGTGATGTAGTTCGGGGCAGTATGGTGGACAGCTTTGTACGTCGGCGTTAGGATTTTGAATTTGATCCGTTGCGCAATCGGAAGCCAGTGGAGGGATTGGCAGAGGGGGGTGGCGGAGACAGAGCGGTTGGAAAGGTGAATGAGTCTGGCAGCCGTATTCAGGATGGACTGAAGCGGGGATAGCCAGCGGCGAGGCAGGCCAGTGAGGAGGGAGTTGCAGTAGTCGAGTCGTGATATGATGAGGGAGTGGATGAGCTGTTTAGTGGTTTCTGGGGTTAGGAACGTGCGGATTTTGGCGATGTTGCGGAGGTGGAGTCTGCACGAGTTTGTTAAAGATTGGACTTGGGGCTGGGAGGATAGGTTGGAGTCCAGAATGACACCCAGTACTCTGGCCTGCAGGGCGGGTTTGATGGTAGCGTTGTTGGACGTGACGGAGAAATCAATGGGGGGTGGTGTCCGGGCTGGGGGGGAAGACAAGAAACTCTGTTTTGGAGAGGTTCAGTTTAAGGAAGTGGAGCGACATCCAGTCTGATATGTCGCTCAGTAGGTGTGTGATTCGGGCTGAGACCAAGGGGTGAGGTGGTATGGATACATATGCTTTTATGGAGTTGAGTTTAGGAGCTTTGGCAAAAAAAAAAATGCCAAAAGCTCCTTAAATCGAGTTTAGGAGCTGCTCGTATACATGAAGCCTAAGAGATGAGAGGCAGGAGTTAGGGCTTTCTTCATAAATGTATTTCTCTTTGAAATAGCAAGCTGTCTATTTGCTATTAACTGTGGCTGTAAAATGAAGACCACAGCGGTGAAAATGGAGGGCTCCTGGTCTTTTTTCTTTTTACTATTGTGATTTTTTGGTTAGATGTCAAGACAGTGAGTCTGCCTTTCATTGGGTATGTCTCAGATATATTCTACTTCCTGTTGTTAGATCCCTAATATTATACTAGAAGCAGAGTGGAGGAAAGATAGAGCAAAGACATGTGAAACTTGTGTGCTTCAATTTGTATTCTGTTTTTGTTTTTGTTATCATCTGTACAGGATATTTTCAGTTTTGTCTGCTATTCTGTACTTGGGAAATGTCACTTACAAGAAGAAAGCGACTGGGAGAGATGAGGGTCTTGATGTGGGCCCACCTGAAGTGCTTGATTCTTTGTCACAATTGCTTCAGGTAAAACTCCAATTCTTTAGTCTTGTTTTTTTTTTTTTTTTCTCTTTATATCAAATTTTCTAATTTAAGTGCATCTTAAGCATTTTTTTCATCTTTGAATAGAGTGGAAAGGGTTGGAACACCTATCTGGTTTTTATTGCCGTCTTTATCTCTATAGGGGAGATTGAAAGTAAGAAATAATCTAAAGTTTGTCACTTAAACAGGAATAGCAGGAATAGCTTCCAATAAGGATGCTCGTTCCTGTGACTTTGAGAGAAGCTCTCCCTTACTTTTGAGAGAGATCTTCTTTAATTATGTTACGTCTAACAACAAGAAGTGAATGAAAATCTCCCTAATGGGACACAGACAGCAAAAAAAAATTTTTACAAAGGTTTACCATACTCTGTTCCAATGTTGCTTAATATGCAGCCTGCTGTGGTCTCATAACCGCTCCTGCTGGGCCCAGACAGTTTGGTGCTGGAATCTCCTACTGTCAGTGACCGTTGCAATCCAACAGTAAGCCCAGGGGCTGAACCAATCCGCTCCTGTGCGTCTTGAGATTACAGGCAACCATAGATAACTATTAGAAGTGCTCTGTTGCTGTAGAGCTGCATAGAGTTTGGGTTTGGTTTGAAGAAAAGGTGGCAACCCTAAACACTTTAGCTGTGCAGGGCAAACGTTTTTTTATGGTATACACTGTAGGATTGTAAAAGACCTGGGACACCATTGGGTGCCCCAAGGAGAGTAGTAACGCAGTTTGCGTAGCATGCTGTGGCAAACAGCGGGTGTGACCAAATTGCATTAACACTGGGAGGGGCTTAAAGGGGCATGATTAAATAAAACAAAGGTATGTTTGTACCCATAAAATAGTCTCAGATTGCAGTGCCACAAGTAAGAGTCTAACAGACATGTATAAACCTCAGCATAATTGTTTTTAAAAAATAAAACTCTTCCATTTCATATAATTTTGCGTACACTGAAAATAGTCATGGACTGCTTAGCAACCAGCAACTGTTAAGACAATTAAAAAGACAATGAACACTTTGGTGAGGAGTCTGTAATGTACAATATAGTTCAGGACTTTAAGTGGGCCATAGACAGTTTTCTCTTTCGCAGCCAGTGGGCTGAATGAAAAAATTAACAGATTCTTCTATCCACACAAACTAGGTGGATGGAGGAATTCCTTGTGCCTTAACCATAAAAGGCGTGTTTATGCGCGTTCACGTGTGGCGCACTGGAACATACAAAAAGTAAGGCAGGCCACCCCATGCAGTACCATGTGTTTTGGTGGCCATGAACACACCCACATTTGCCAGGTGTGTGGGGGGTGCCTTTAGGTATTATTGGCACCTGTGCATGTCTGCACACTTCTGTATAGTGCGGGAAATGCGTGCAGAAATGTGTGCAGTTTTTCCACACTGAAAGTGATGTGAATCAGCACTCACAGAAAAGAGAGAAAAAAAAAGGATTTTGGCTTTTGCTGTTAAAAAAAAAAAAAAAAAAAAAAAACCCAAAAAATAAACAAAAAACAAAGCACACATAACACAACGCATTAAAAAAAAGTGTGCCCATGCACATCAACTCGGATGCATTTAACAAAAATCGATCCGTGCTATACACCGCATGTGGTGTGGAGCCCTAAATAAACATGATCCCTGGCTTCAATACCTTCTGAACATGAGGATCTGCATTACAGCCAGATGGAGGGGAGGCCAGCTTCCCTGTAGTCAGTATGATGTGATCATACATGAGATGTACTCTGATCCCCCTCATCTTAGCACTGTACAAGGGAGGTGACATCCAGGTGTGATGTGCCATGCATAGCCCTGTATGGAGGAGGGGCAGGAAAAGGGTTTACTCCCTGAAATAAGGAAGGTAACGCCAATGGGGTAGAGCTGGGTGTCCCTGGATGTAGGCTGTATGGATCACCGAGAATGGGATGATCATTAGCTGGGGGGAGTGGCAATCCTAAATGTCCAGGTGCCTCAAAGTAGAAGTTTCTGACCAGGAAGGTGATCGAGGCATCCAGCCCAGGACCCCACACCAGGCTCTGCTCCAGGCTCAGCAGCTCTGCCCCTGGCACACACCGTGGATGCACACAGGGCCAGGAGGAGCAGGAGCAGTGGCCCTGGAGAGACTTTCAGCCTGGAGTATGCCATGTGTGTCCTGAGCTCTGCCTCAATGCACTCCGCCTTGCGTTCAAACATCTCAGGAGGGTCAACAGATCGCCCAGCTCTGATGAGGAAAGTCCCATTGACTGGGGGGTAGAGTGTTCCTTCATTGCTGTGATGTGTCAGGCACAGTGAGCCACAGTCTGTTTGAATAATGTGTCCTGGTATCAGGCGGTCTGAAATATAGACACATGATTCAAAATCCGGACAGGTGACAACCCTAATAAAGATGCTGTATCAGGCTTTCACTGACTTGATCCAGACCCCTATGAAGGAAAAATAAAGTTGGTGATAAGATTGGATTTTACTACATAAGTGAAACATTTACATATGTGAGCAAGGCATTCAGAATTTTGACCTGCCAAACCTGTGAAAATGTGTTTGTCATGCTAATTCCTTTCTGCACAAACCCAAATAGATACTGTTCTAAACAAACTAATTATATTTTTGTTGTGGTATGATATACTAGCAATTAGCAAACATGTGTTTTTACCTCTCAATATTGTAGTGTAACAGTGTGAATGGGCCCCAGGCTATTGTGTGGCTCTGTCAGGGAGACACATTTGGAGCTGCTTATGTTGATCACCACTGATCAAAAAAGCTTTTGGCCTTAGATATAGATTCATAAACAGATGCAAGTGTAATATTTTCTATAGTCCTACCAATATGTCATGAGAAAATGTGCCATTCTAATGCTTTGATTTTTTTTTTCAATGGATATTATTTATTTAACAGGTTAAGAGAGAAATGCTTGTTGAAGCACTAACCAAAAGAAAAACTGTTACTGTAAATGAGAAACTGATCCTGCCTTATAGCCTCAATGAGGTAAGTAGTAAAAAAAAATTGTCAGAACAAGCTTTTTTTTTTTTTGCTTTTTTTTTTTTTTTTTTTTTTAACTTTCTTTGATCCTAAACCTGTGGAAATGTAACATATTGCAGCTTGAAAGTCCTTATATATGGTGGCTTCATTATTTTTCTTTTTTAATGCAAGAAAACATTTTCATCAAATACCTGTTGATCTTACCAGAAATGCAGGAGGTGGATGGAGGAATTGATCAAGCAATTGATTGTCAAGTGGGACTGTCGCACATGGATTAAAATTTGACTGGTCCCTGCTGAACCTGTCAAATTTCAATCAGTCTATGGCCAGCTTTAAAGAAAGCAGTAACAACTTTTTTTTCTTGTGTAAACTACTAATCCTGTCAGCAATACAGATGAACAAAGACAGAGTACACTCTTGATGGCAACCATGGTTTCCTCCATAAATAAAGTAGTGATAAAGTTAAAAAGAAGAAAAGAAAAGCCTGAAAAAAAAAAAACTAATGCAGACATCTAATGACTGCTAGGCTGCAATCTGACATTTGTTTTTCTGGTTAGACACTCTTTAAAGGTCAACTTCTCTTAAAGTGTTACTTAAGCTTATTATCTTAATTGTACAGTGCAGGATACAGGCAAAGTACTCCTACGTAGGCCCTGGGTTATAGACTCATACCTTAAGGGGATTGGACACTAGCAAGCTTTTGAGGACATACCCACTGGGCACCTCTAAGTTCTCAGATTTGTACTAGAGTCCTAAGGTAATGAACCTATTCTTCAGAGAATCACTCTTGGCTTAACCCCCTTTTTTTTTTTTTTTTTTTTTTTTTTTTGTCTTCAAATTCTTCTGCTTCTGGGCACTGGATCCCGCATGGGCACTCACTTTATCACTTAAAGCAAGGTGTGCTGTCTAGGGCTGTGGTCCACCCTGTGGAACCCAGTTCCTAAAAACCCCTTCAGGGAAGTTCATGTGAGGGCAAAGCCTGGACTTAATATACAGTCCAGCATCATGGACAGGTAAGACAGTCCCTTTGTATGCTTCTGACTGTGACTGAAAAAGACTGGGGTGATATTGGAATTGTATTCACTACAGTGTGCTAAAACCCAACCACTCAGGTGGATGTCCAGGTATGACATCACATCACAGGTTGCACTTTTTACCGCAACTTCCACCTAGAGACTTTATATGGTATTCAGGCACTGCTTTGTTCTTCTTTTAGACAGGCTTACCCTTTTTTCCCGAACCCTCTTCCATGAGTACTCCACAATGCAATACCCTCACGTTTAGTTATGGTGGAGACCAAGCAAAAGTGGACCATTGCAAAACTGAAGATGAACATTTGCTGTGCTGAAGGCCCACATAAGACTTGCACCAGAGCAGGAGCTGGATCTGCAACTGGTCTCTGGATCTGATTCTAGCTCTATTGCAGACACACAACAAGCTTCATACCTGACAAAACTAGAATTTTCTGCATCAGTGTCACAATTCCTCAGACAAATAACTACGTTATTACATCAATCTTTGCCCTGGGGTCAAAACAGCATACCTCTTCTCTTGTTTCTCTGCCTAAGTTAGATCCTGCTATGCCTGCCCTAGAAGAGACAGACACAGAAGGGAAAAAAAGACATTGAAGCAGTATTGGTGGAGTATTAAAAAACACATATTTTTTTTTCAGGTTAAAAAAAGTGCACTTATTTTTTTTTTTTTCTTATGGAGTCTGCAAAGCATTGTATTCGTGATCAGCAGATCACGTGTGTAATCTCGAGCTCCTGCAGATTCTCAGGATAGCTGTCTGCCGGTACATCATAAGGCAGGCAGTTACTCGAGAGCAGGACGATCAATGAACTATGAGAATTCTCAACAGCACCCTTGCATTTTGTTGAGAACAACAAGCCATCAGTCATAATGGCTGACAGTACTTGTAATCTACCCATTCACATGAAAACTGTGAATGAATAACGCAGCTGCGTTGGTGAAGCCCCGCATGGCCACACTGTTTTCTTCTTTCCGCATCCGCTGTCACAATTTGAACCCACTCCCGCTATCACATGAGGGGAGGGGGGGCGTGGTAGATCAGGGGGAGAGGATGCAGGAGTTGGAACATGTTACACGTTCCACTTTAAAAATGGGTGGCAAATATAACAAGTTTCAAAAATGAACTCATCCTTTAACGCAACATGCTTGCTAATGTGGAAAAGCTCACTGCTGCTGCCTGCAAAAAGTATTGTGTAGCTTGATTCTCCATCTTAGTATGCCCCTTTTGGATGCAAAAAGACCTCACATTTCCTGTTCATGAACAGACAGAATGTGCAATCTATGATGATTGGATCACTTTTCCAAACTCACTAAATTTTTCTAGTGGCAAGTGGTCCATTCCTGTGGTTGATCCTGCCATCTCATTCTTATACAAACATCTGACTGTACCTATTGAAGGCATTCCTTCTTTCAAAGATTCTGCAGATAGAAAGTTTGATATTCTTAAATGTTCTCTTTACTTTAGCAGGCCCTGCCCTGCAACCAACTTTCGTTGCAATTCAAAATAACTGGACTGTGGCATTGAACAACAAACATGACCCTGTTTTTTTCAGGAATGTGCTGTAACAGAGCAATTACAGCAATTACCTTCTGCTCTGCTTTTTTTGGATGACATAGAATATGTCATGAGACAAATTTCCGGAATGTCCCTAATCTCTATTCAGATGAACAGAATCTTGTGGCTAAAATCCTGGATGGCTGAAGCTGTCTACAAAGTGTCTCACACCTATGCCTTTTCAAGGACAGCATCTTTTTTGGAGGAGCACTTCACCTATTCATAAAAGATGTAACACAAGAGAAGGTTTTACTTCCACCGTGGAAGATCCCAGAACCTGTACCCCCTCTAAACGTAGAGCACTTAATCGCTCTACCCTGTTTTTCAAGTTCCGCCCTTCTTTTCAGCACAAGACTTGGTCCAAAATTTCAAAGTCTTCACCAAAGCCCTGTTTCCAAAGAAGGGTGTTCTCATTCCGAAGAGTGGGTGACATATGTTATCATTTTCCTCTCTCTGGGTCAACAAATCAACCAAAGATGAACACAGTAAAATTTGCAAAATGCCCTGAACCATCTCAGCGAGTAGTAGTGCCATTATTCCCACAAGACCAGTTCAAAGGATTTTACTTGAATCTGTTCACGGCACCAGAGCCCAGCAGGGGTATTTGTCCTATTTTGGACTTAAAATCCATTAACAAATACTTGCAAATTTCACATGGAATCTGCAAGGTCTCTCTGACAAGAGGGATACATGACATCCATAAACAACCAAGATGCGTATCTGCATGTTCCCGTTTCATCTACCTTATTAGCGCTTTCTGCACTTCTCAGTGGCAAACAATCATTTCCAGTTTGTCCTGCTGCCCTTTAACCTATCCTTTGCTCCCAGTGTGTTCACAAAGGTCTAGCACCTCTTCCTGTCCTTCTCAGAGCTTTGGACATCCAAGTTATTAGGACAACTTCTCCTTAAGGAATCTCCTTTCCAGCCATCTGCAAACATCCACAGGAAAAATCAGATGCTCCAGACTTAGGCATGTACAGTTGTGACCCCCATGAATTGAGTGTTTTGGGCCTCAGTTTCAGTTGGGTGATCAATTTAAAATAAATTAGCTCTTCAGCCCATGCTTCAGAATTGAGGTAAAAAGACATCCCACAATGAGATTCAGTGCCCACGCAGCTAGTTCAACAGCCTAGGGATTTGAAATCCCTGCTCTTCTCCCCCCTTTTCTTTCAGCAGTGGTTCCAGGGTGGATCAGAGCAATTCTGATTGGTCAGCACTGGCACATCAAATTGCTCTGATTTGCTCCCGAAGTACTGCAGAGAGAGTGGTAGATGGACTTCAAATCCCCAGACTGCTACAACAGCTGTGTAGGCAGTGACCTCTCATTACCCATGAAGGTAAATACAGCAGGGACCAGGGGCATGGGGAGGGTGTACAGTGTTCACGTTTTTAAATTTTTTCTGAAAAGGTGAACTAACCTTTTAAAGGAGAAGTTCACCTTTGGGAACGATTTCCCCATACCAGCTGTCACCTTTTGAAAAGAGCTCAGCTCATTCATTCACAGAGTCCTGTGAACTAAAGTACCCGACGTCCAATGCGGCTGTCGGCATGTAGTTCTCAATGAACTACCATGACTCTGTTTAGCGCTCTAGTAGTTCATTGAGTCTTCCTGTCATTGTTTAACTGGGGAGACAGCTTACACTAATAGTCTGCATGGCACCAGCAATCTGCTGATCGCTGGTGAAATGCTTTCCAGGCTCTAAAATAAAAAATAATGGTAAATGCACATTTTTTTATGTGCAAAAAAATGTGCATTTATTTATTTTTTTTAAGTTGCTTGAATTCTCTCTCTGCCAGGAAAACCGTGATTATTGCCACGGGCTATAGCCGCTGGCAATCGCATGAAAAGTTTGATATTGGGTACAATGAGACTGCTTATAGATGGGTTGAATTTTGGCTGGGTGCTGTTGAACGTGCCGAGTTTTGAACCATCTATGGCCGTCTTTAGACTTGGTGCTACTTTTAGGCTCCATGCACACTAACATTTTTTATAAGTTAAAAAAAAACTAGAAAAAAATGCTGGATGAAAAACATTGATAATAGTGTTTTTGTACCAGCTTATAGTAGCGTTTTATAGTAGCGTATTATTTTTACAGTACATGAAAGAAAAGCTGGAAAAAAGTTTTTTAGGAGCGTTCAACGTTTTGTTTTTTTTGTGCTGGATAAACGTTCCAAAGAACTCCACTGGAAAAAAAAAACAATAAACGTTTTTTTTTTATTTTTTTTTTTTTTTCTGCTCCTGGAAGCTGAAGCTCAAAAACACTAATAGCCTAAAGTAGCATGCATGGACACATAAGAGAACACTATTTTAGCTTTTAGGGGCAGAAAAAAATGCTAGTGTGCATGGAGCCTAAGGAGTTGAAAGTGAATGAAAGGTTAAAAAAAAAAGTACATTATCCTTTCAGTTTACCTATTTTGATGGCTTTTCTATATGTCTATCCATTCAGTCGTATCCAACCCTTGGCGATTGCATGGACCGTCACTCGTAAGCAACTTTTTCCATTAATTCTCTTAGCAATTATTTTTACAGGGTAGGTTGCCAGGTATTTCCCCCACCCCTACCATGCAGGAGATCCCGCATGGCCAGGGATGAAACTAGGACAATTTTTTAGAAAGGAGCCAATTAACCCACCAGCATGTCTTTTGGAGTGTGGGAGGAAACTGGAGTACCCGGAGGAAACCCACACGTACACAGGGAGAACATGTAAACTCCATGCAGGCGGCGCCATGGTCGGGAATCGAACCCATGACCCAATTACTGCAAGGCAGCAGTGCTAACCACTAAGTCACTGTGCCTCCCTGATGGCTTTTACTGCTGGTTCAAATGCTTTTGTCAGGCTAGTTTATTATCAAATGAGGAAAAAAAAATCAGTTCTGATGCACACTCCTTATTGCATTTCCAATGGCATGCAATTTTTTTTTTCAGTACATACCTGAGAATGTGTGTAAAATTTTTTTTTTTTTTTTTTACTTTTCACAATAAATTAGAGGCAGCTTTATTGGACCTATGCTAGACAAACTGTGTTCTGCTTTCATGTCACATAAGCTGTCCACTTTCAAATCTCTTTCAGGCTGTCACTGCCCGTGATTCAATGGCAAAATCTCTGTACAGCGCCTTATTTGACTGGATAGTCCTTCGAATAAACCATGCTTTGCTCAACAAAAAAGACGTGGAGGAGTCTGTCAGTGTGAGTGAACACCATAAAGGTCGTGCTTCTCAAATTTGCAGTAATGTATTTTTCTTCACATCCAAAGCCTGACTATATGATGAAACAAGTAATTTTTCTGTCACCCCACTCCATATTTATATGATGATAAAATGTGCTTTTGGATAGAATCTCATGACTTGTAGTTTACATTTTTTATTAACGTGGTACTGAATAACCAAAAATGCTTTTCTTCATATTATTTATAAAGGAAAACGTTAAATAATTTTGATCATTTTTTATTTAAATGTTACTGACATTTTCAGTTGTCACTGCAATAGCCTGGCGTTTTTATAGTTTTGTGGAGCAGACAACCATAAGTGGGGTCTTTTCTCTTTTACACAACTTTCAGTTTGTTCACAGCAATGATGCACAACAAATATAAATAAATACAAGCCTGGATATTTCTCACTATGCTACAAGCTTCCATACCAAAACACCCCCCTCCCCCCCCCCAAAAAAAAATGTCCTTGCCTGCAAAGTTATGGCTTGGTTTTTGATAGTTTTTGTGAACTTCCTCTGCAGCCAGCTGTCTCTTTTATCAGGACCAATAACAGCAGTGGCATAATTTCCTCTGATTTCTCAAGTTTCTAAGGTGCTCTGTCTTATCCAGGCTGGCTTTCCCAGGGCTCATTTCACACAGTTTATAAACTGATAATGTTTTAGCTTATACAAATTCTTTAATACCGGATGCTTTCATGTTAACTGGTTTGCAGTGCATGCTGGGTTTTCTAATATGGATAGGCATGCACAGGGCTTTTTTTCCTCAGAGAATAGGTGCAGGTACTCCCCCATTCTGAGCCACCCCTTGTCTGCACCCTGTACCCACCTTTGAGCACTGTCCCTTGGTTCCATCCCATACCCACCTTTGAGCACTGTCTCTTGGTTGGTCACGACATGCCCACCTCCCAGTATGGCCCTTTTAGAGAATACAGAATCATATATTTTGTGGTGCTAAGTAACTTGTATGAAATGTGTTCATAACAAAAAAAGCAGTAGAATAAATCCCCTGCAGCCAGCACCAATACATCACCCCCCAAGAAAAAATAGAACCCCCTCCCCGCAACAATATACCTTTCCAGCAACGTTAGACCTCTGCCAGAAACAATAGATCTCCCAGCAGACATCATCCATAAACCCCTTCCTCAACAGTAGATCCATCCTGGCAACATAAGATCCCCTACAGCAACAATAAATCCACCACAAGCAGCAATAGATCCTCCATCAACAACAATGTACCCCTTGCAAGAATAAATTCCCCCCCAAGTGACAACATATCCCACAGCACCCACCATCAATAGACCCTCCAACACACACCCAGTACCCCTGGCCATTAAATCCATTCAGTGATGGAGGTGCCACCGCGTTCCTGCTGAAAAAAAGCCCTGGGCATACCAGTTGCAGTTAAGATACAAAGGAATTGTTTCTTGTGATCTTATCTATAATAATTCAGTCCTGGCTCACCGTAGTGAGGCTCTGGTGAGCTTGAATTGCAGAGGACGAAGAGCTGCTTATAGATTTGACTCAACATTTTTGCAGTAAATGATCAGAGAGATTTGACATTGGTGTTAGAACCAAATGGATGCGTGACAACTTGTATTTCCAAACACAGAATATTCAAAAGATAGAGATTACTCTCCCAACCATCAAATTAACAATCAGCAGAAATTGAAGGCTAGTGTGCATAAGGTAGGCAATAAATTGGATTGGTAACCTAGTAGATGAATTAGGTTTTGTCCATCTGGATTAATTTGAACATTCAGGAAATGGCCTACCTCAGATGACTGGCATATAGTGATAGAGGTAAAGGTTTGGTGCCACCAAGCCCCCCGATTCTAATTGTTGTGTGGTAATGTTTCTGATTTGGAGTTCTTAAATAATGCTTGGAATATTGAATGACTAGTTTTTGGAGCTGGGACAAATTATGTTAGGTTTCATAAATTTAAAGACGGGACAAATAGAGTTCTCTTAAAGTTGCCATAAACGTAGGCTAAGCAAACAAAAGCAAACGATTCCTCCATCCATGCTAAACAGGGATGGACAAATCTCCCCTGATTGGTATTGTATGCATGACAGCTGGCACCCATTGTTGTTAAAGTACAGGAACACTGGCTACATCTCATTGGATGGAGCCACTGTTCGGCTGACAATTTTCCACCTGGCTACTTTGACAAAAGTCTGTGCATTGCAACATGTGTGACACTACTCCAAAGGATACATCAGTTAAAGACAATTTTAAGTCTACTAAGTAGTCTGGGGAGTGGTATTGGCCATGACCATATGTGGAGAGGATGTCCAGTTGACCCATATTTTACAAAAATAGTTTTTTGGATGCTCTCTATTTCCTGCATTATGTTTATAGAGAGGTTTTCATTAATATGTTGCATCCATAATAATGTAGTTGTTGCCATGGCTTTCCCTTCTCAAAGAATACATTTTTGCAAAAAAGAATATATATAGAAGAAACCTTTTAGAGTGATGAATCAATGTAATCCCCTACAAACACATCAGCTACCTGACTCTAAAAATCATAATTATAGTGACCTTGCTACACTATATAAAAGTTTATAATTGCACTCAGTGTGGCTCGGTCACGTCCTCCGCTCCCACTGCTCTTACTGAGCCCAGTGAGGAAGAACAACACAACGCTGGATCGAGATTGGACTGTCAATGCAAAGAATGCATTAAAGTAAAAAACCTTTAGCTTTTACAACCACTTTAAGCTGAATCACCTTGTCTTTAGATGAGATCACTATAGCATATAGGTCTCTTCAAATGCCTGCCAACTGTCTTTGGTCATGGTAGAAAGCATCCTAGCACAGTTGTCTTGTGCTTTATGATGTTTATCTGTTTTAGATGTTGAAAGTCCATCATAATATCTGAACACAAGTTTATCAGGGTCTCTGTCGAGGGGTAAATCCTTCCAGTATTGGAAATATCAGATCAGAGTCTAATACACATATTTGTGTGTTAGTCCTCATGCAAACTAGACGTTTTTATAGCTGCTGTTGTGGGCTTTGGCGTTTTTGTGTTTTTTTTTTTTTTTTTCTACAGCCAGTAAACGCCCCTGCCAAAAACAGCTAATTAAAGCATGGACACATAGGCTTTAATCAGCGTTTTTGGCTGGGGAAAAAAAAAAACAGAACTAGTGGGTTTCTAGAGGAGTTTTTTAGCTGGAAAAACGCTGTAACTCTGGTAAATTCTGAAAAATTGCATTTTTGAGCGGCTGTTTGAGCAAATGTTTTTTGTGTGTACAAAAAAAAAAAACACAAACGTGGCTAAACACGAATGCAAAAACGCTGAAAAAAAAAAATTATGTTTTTAACGCGACTTTACACAGCTGATGCTACCAGCGTTCTTAAAATGTCCAGTGTGCATGGAGACTTGGTGGCATATTTTAGATGTGTATAGGCAAAATTGGCTGATGGAAGGACGAGGAGAATTATAAAGACATAATCTTGTAACTGACCTTCATAAATATCACTATGTAGATATGTAATCCCATTTTTGCCCCAGTAGGCTTCATTTTGCAGTCCCGCGATCTCCCCCTGCCCCCTCTTATGAAACTTTTGTTGGGGACAGTGTTGTATTGGTTGTTAATATTGTATTTTCGATTTTTTTGACTCTTTATACAAGCTAAAATGTCTTTAAAGTCATAGTGCAATATTTAACAGATGTGTGTATGCTTATTTTTTTTTTCTTCAGTGCCTATCAATTGGGGTCCTTGATATTTTTGGGTTTGAAGATTTTGAAAACAACAGCTTTGAACAGTTCTGCATTAATTATGCCAATGAACAGCTCCAGTATTACTTCAACCAGCACATCTTCAAGTTAGAACAGGTGAGAAATAATATTACATATTTACCCAGATATATAGGTTTATGACTGCAATAATAAACTGATGCATAGGAGACATCCTTGCTTTAAATGATATTTTAAGAGTTAATACATTTTTGAGGAAGAAAAATATACAGAAAAGCACAGTACAAAGCACTCTGAACATGTACAGGACTAAATAGAAATCTAGTGTTGTATTCCATTTTCTCATTAAAACTGTAATATTCGAATAAACATGATTTGGAAAACGGCACCTGTAGAAAACTATTATTATTAGGTGTTGTAATCTAGTACCCTGAAACAAAGTTGATTTGTTAATATTAGAATAAAGAGGGGTACTGAAGAACTAAAATGATAGTGGATGAGGAAAATTAAAAAAAAAAAAAGAAAAGTTAGTAATCAGTTTAACCCCCCTGGCGGTATTCCCGAGTGTAGCTCGGGGTAAAGTTTCAGTACCACAAGCGATAATCCTGAGCTACACTAATACCATGCGGCGCTGCTCCGCGATCCCTCGATCACTTACCTTGTCCTGCACTCCCGCGATGTCCCTCCTCCTGCAGTGTCCCCGGCAATGTAATCCGGCGGATGCCGACATCTATCATCTGAGTTCCGCCCCCTGCGAGCGTCGGGACGTACGGGGGACGGAACGGCGGGAAATTTGAAAATGACAAAAAGTGACATTCACTAAAATCACATAGTAAAACATTACTGTATCAAACCATTTCACATACATTTTGTCCCTAGTGCTTTGTCCTGTGCCCTGCCTGCATTTTTACTGTTCTTATTGCCTGGAAACTGAGAAACGTCCATGGCATCCAAAAAGCGTCCCTTTAGGTCAAAAGTGGTTTTAGACCAGCTAGAGAACAGCGATAGTAAATCAGAACCACTTGCAGAATTGAGTGATAGTGATTCGTGGGGAAATTCGTCATCAGACACTGAAAACGATTTTGCGACTTTGCGCTGATCACATGTTAAAAGGTGGCTCTGCTTGGCTCTGACCTGCACACATGATCAGCTATGTCCGAAGGACACAGCGATCACAGCTTGAGCATGGTGCGCAGGGGGGTGTGGTTCTGAGAGGACGTCCATGGACACCCTCCCAAAACTAGCTGATCATGCTGTAGCTTTGCATTTATTTATTTTTTTTACATTGCAGGCTGCAAAGCATTGCGTCCACACTCAGTGGATTGTGGGTACAATGTCTGGCTTCTGCAAACACTCAATACAGTACACTATGGAGGTAAAGGCAGACTGTTACGGAAGTACAGAAAAAGGTCAATGAACGAAGCGTATGCTCATCAGTGCTCTCACTAGTTCATTGCGAATTACAAGCCGTCTGCCAGGGTGGCAGACTGGACTTGTAATTCATTCATTCACAGATCTCTGTAAATAAATGATGCTGCTGTCTGGGCAGAGCTGCTTTTAAAATGTGACATCGGGTGGGCGGGTGAAGGTCTCCTGCCCACTGTCATTGGAGAACTTGGGGAAGGGTTGGCTGCTTCATAGTAACCCATTGCATGTTACACCCTAAATACAGGTGTAACATTTACAAAAGGTGAACTTATCCTTTAAAAATGAATTCAGTCAGGACTTGCCCACCTGATTTATCAGTGCAACCAGTAGTCTGTACAGTTTAAAGTGTACACCTACTGGCCACTTTATTAGGTACACCTGTTCATTTGCTTGGTAACACAAATTGCTAATCAGTCAATCACATGGCAGCAACTAAATGCATTTAGGCATGTAGATGTGGTGAAGATGACTTGCTGAAGTTCAAACCGAGCATCAGAATGGGAAAGAAAGGGGATTTAAGTGACTTTGGCACCAACAACCATGCCACGTTCAGACAGGCTGGTCTGAGTATTTCAAAAACTGTTTATCTACTGGGATTTTCACGCACAACCATCTCTAGGGTTTACAGAGATGAAAAAGAGAAAAATATCCAGTGAGCGGCAGTTGTGTGGATGAAAATGCCTTGTTGATGTCAGAGGAGAATAGGCAGACTGGTTGCTGTGACATTTTAGATGGTGTTGTCAGAATTTGGTGTAAACAACATGAAAGAATGGATCCATCCTGCCTTGTATCAACAGTTCAGGCTGGTGGTGTAATGTTGTTGATGGATATTTTCTTGGCACTAGCAAGATGTACCTAATTAAGTGGCCGGTGAGTGCATGTAAACCCTAGCAATGAACTCTTCTTTTTTTTTTTTTTTTTTTATTTGGTCTCTTTTGGTCTGTTAAATATACAACTTGAATATGGTTATAGCTATTCAATTAATAACTTCCTGTTCACAAGGCATAGTTATGGAGGTGAGAAGTAGTGATGGTGGAGGGATGAGGAGAAGGTGGATGTCTCCTTTGGAATACATCAGAAATGACACCACATTTTTAAAGAGAATGGTCTGAAAAAGAGAAAATATCTAGTGAGTGGCAGTTGTGTGGACGAAAATGCCTTGTTGATGTCAGTGGAGAATGGGCATTCGATTTCAGCTGCGACATTCAGATGGTAGGGTCAGAATTTGGCGTAAACAACATGAAAGCATAGCATGGATCCATCCTGCCTTGTATCAATGGTTTAGGCTGGCGGTGTAATGGGGTGGATGATATTTTAACACTAGCAAGGTGTACCTAATAAAGTGGCCAGTGAGTATATGCTTTAAGTATTTAAAATTTTAGTTTCCAGTGACTTTTATTACATGCAACACTTTTAGGTGTTGTATTACATTGAAAGAAAGAAAGAAAGATGATACAACATTGCAACATTTGTTTTGTAGAGCAAATTAGAAAACTGAAGCAAATGTTTAGTTGATATGAGCAATACTAACCAAACTCCTTCTGTCCTAGATTACTTTGAGCTCCTTGATTACTTTTGCTACTGTTGCTGCTACTGCTAATAGTAATAGAAACTTGTTTTTGATCTTCCCTTTTATAGGAGGAATACCAAGGTGAAGGAATTAGCTGGCACAATATTGATTATACAGACAATGTTGGTTGCATACAGTTGATCAGTAAGAAGCCCACAGGTCTCTTCTACCTGCTGGATGAGGAAAGCAAGTATGTATAAATCAACCCCCAGGGTTCAAAGTGTCTGTTTTTTTTTTTTTTACAATTTGCGCTGGTCATACACTAAGTGAATTTTGGGCAGGTTCCTGATAAACTGGCCAAAATTCACTGCATGGGTGACCCTATCAGCCCTTTCCTTCCCAACATCCTTTGAAAAAAAAATTTGAATGATTTGCAAAGAAAATGTTCACACCCACAGCGTGGATAGAGGAACCAGTCTGCCTTTAGGCTGAATGAAGAAATCTGATAGTGTTTGGCCAGCTTTAGTATTAAAGAATAAGTTCACCTTTGGGAATTGTTTTTAGGGTGGAACATGTAACGTGTCTGCTCCTGCAGCTGCTTGGGGATCCAAGCACCTGATGTGACAACAGTATGGGGAAAAGTTGCATGTACCAGCTGTTACTTTTTGAATAGAGCACGCCATGCAGAGCTCTGCCCACATGGCCGTGTTATTCATTCACAGAGTCCTGTGAATTGATGAACTACAAGTACCGAAATCCTTTACGGCTGTCGACGGTGCTGTTGAGCACTGTGGTAGTTCATCGATTTTTCCTGTCAGTATGAAACTGCCTTGTCCATACAATGTATGGGCAGATAGCTTACACTGACAATCTGCAGGAGTCCTGCATGGCACGCTGATGCAATGCTTTCAGGCTCCTAAAAAAAACAAAATAGTAAATGCACATTTTTTTACCTATAAAAAAAATAAATTTGCATTTATTAAAATGTGAACTTATCCTTTAATCATTCCTTTTGTTGGTTATAGATTGTGTTATCCCCTCTTAAATAAGGTAATATTCTAAAAAACATATTTTACTTGTTTGTTTTTTGTTTTTATGTGTTTTAGACATTTGTTTTAGTAAAATGTACATTTAGTACATTCCAGCATTAAGCGTTTGAAAATCATAAAATGAAAAGGACCAACACTATTTATGTACACATTCTAAATCTCATGTAGTTTTACTGCAACCCTTTTCTGCTAGAAAACAAACGATTTCTTCATGCCCCCATGTTGTATTCTCCAAGTAGTCACTCCTCCTACTTTGCATGTCACAACTGATCATATCTTGGAAAAAGAGCTTTACTTCAATGATGCAAGCTTTTCCTATTCACTGGGTAAGCTGCACTGTAATAGTTGTGTTCACAGATACAGGGTGTAATACACCCTCCAAATTCCAGTGCTCTTCCAAAAAAAAACTTCTTTTGGACCATCACTGTTTTTTTTTTTTTTAACTAGCTTGCCAAAACCGAGACTTTTTTTAATATTTTCCTATATTATTGACTAGATAATTTACAGTATTTTTCGCTCCATAAGACGCACCTGACCATAAGATGCACCTAGGTTTTAGAGGAGGAAAACAAGAAAAAAAATATTCTGAACCAATGGACTGCAGACATAGTACAGGAAATGACCAGAGTCTGCAGACACAGTACAGGACATGACCAGAGACTGCAGGGACACAGTACAGGACATGACCAGAGACTGCGGACACAGTACAGGACATGACCAGAGACTGCGGACACAGTACAGGACATGACCAGAGACTGCGGACACAGTACAGGACATGACAGACTGCGGACACACAGGACATGACCAGAGACTGCGGACACAGTACAGGACATGACCAGAGACTGCGGACACAGTACAGGACATGACCAGAGACTGCGGACACAGTACAGGACATGACCAGAGACTGCGGACACAGTACAGGACATGACCAGAGGACTGCGGACGGACACAGTACAGGACATGACCAGAGGCTGCGGACACAGTACAGGACATGACATGACCAGAGGCTGCGGACACAGTACAGGACATGACCAGAGGCTGCGGACACAGTACAGGACATGACCAGAGGCTGCGGACACAGTACAGGACATGACCAGAGGCTGCGGACACAGTACAGGACATGACCAGAGGCTGCGGACACAGTACAGACATGACCAGAGGCTGCGGACAGTGACATGACCAGAGGCTGCGGACACAGTACAGGACATGACCAGAGGCTGCGGACACTAGACATGACCAGGACACAGTACAGGACATGACCAGAGGCTGCGGACCTAGTACAGGACATGACCAGAGGCTGCGGACCTAGTACAGGCTGCGGACATGACCAGAGGCTGCGGACCTAGTACAGGACATGACCAGAGGCTGCGGACCTAGTACAGGACATGACCGAGGCTGCGGACCTAGTACAGGGGAGGCTGCGGACCTAGTACAGGGGATGACCCGAGGCTGCGGACGCTAGTACAGGGGGGATGACCCGAGGCTGCGGACGCAGTACAGGGGATGACCCGAGGCTGTACAGGGGATGACCCGAGGCTGCAGACAGTACAGAAGATGACCCAGAGACTGCGGACCTTTGGGGAGGGAGGGGCAGCGGATACCTGAATTTGACAGGTACCCGCTCCCACTTCGGCGGAGTTGTCCTCCCTTTAGTGTTGGCACCCGGCTGTGCGTGCCATGCCTTGTAATTTTTGTACATTTCTCCAAATATGTCAAAATCCTATATTTCTCTAAATATGCAACATTTTTGAGAAATTATTTTTTCAATCCCTCAAACAAATGACACGGAGGGGAATTTCCAGATGCCCCAACACCGCTAGACTGTTATACCATCAATATGCACAGAAAACGTAACAAAAATTATAAGATCAATGGTATGTTTTTCCTTTAGCCCAGAGTTCTTCAGATTGTTAACAATTTGTCTTTTAAGTCATATGCAAGTTTAAACAAAGGTAATTGCCTTGCTGCCTTTTAATAATTTAAAGAAGACGTATCATGGTACATTTTTATCTATATACAGTTAGGTTCATATATATTTGGACACAGGCACAATTTTAGTTTTTTCAGGTATTTAGCAAATACTAGTTATATAATGGATATGAACTGAAAGTGCACACTGTCAGGTTTAATTTGAGGGTATGTACATCCAAATTGGAGGAAGGGTTTAGGAACCTTTTCCAAGGGACCAAAAGTAATTGGACAATTGAATCAAATGCGGTTTCATGGCCAGGTGTGGGCTACTCTTTCATTATTTCTGCATCAATTAAGCAGGTAAAAGGTCTGGAGTTGATTCTAAGCATGGTATTTGCATTTGGAATCTTTTGCTGTGAACCTACATCATGCGTTCAAAGGAGCAAGTGATGCAAGTGAGACAGGCCATTGTAAGGCTTCGAAAAGGAAAAAATGCATCAGAGAGATAGCAACATTAGGAGTGGCCAAATCAACAGGAAAGAAAGAAGAATGCACTGGTGAGCTCAGCCACATAAAAAGGTATGGACATCCTCGGAAGACAACCGTGGTGAATGATCGCAGGACCCTCTCTATGGCAAAGAAAACAAGACAAGTGAAGGACACTCTCCAGAGGTGGGCGTATCATTGTCAAAGTCTACAATCAAGAGAAGACCTCATGAGAGCAAATACAGAGGATTCACCACAAGGTGCAAATCATTCATAAGCATGAAAAATAGAAAAGCCAGATTAGACTTTGCCAAAAAATATCTAAAACAGCCAGATTAGTTCTGGAAAAGCATTCTATGGATGGATGAAACTAAGATTAAGCTGTACCAGAATGACGGGAAGAAAAAAATGTGGAGAAGGCTTGGAACAGCTCATGATCCAAAGCACACAATGTCATCTGTAAAACATGATAGAGGCAGTGTGATGGCATGGGCATGCATGGCTTCCAGTGGCACTGGGTAATTGGTGTTTTTGATGATGATGTGACAGAAGACAGAAGCAGCCAGATGAATTTCTGCAGTGTTAACAAGATATACTGTTAGCCCAGATTCAGCCAAATGCAGCAAAGTTGATTGGACGGCGCTTCACAGTACAGATGGACAATGATCCAAAACACACTGCAAAAGCAACCCAGGAGCTTTTGAAGGAAAAGAAGCAGAATATTCTGCAATGGCCGAGTCAATCACGTGATCTCAACCCAATTGAGCATGCATTTCACTTGCTGAAGGCAAAACTAAAGGCAGAAAGACCCACAAAGGACAACTGAAGACAGCTGCAGTTAGAGCCTGGCAAAGCATCAGAAAGGAGGAAACCCAGTCTTTGTTAATGTCCACGGGTTCCAGACTTCAGGAAGTCATTGCCAGTAAAGGATTCTCAACAAAATATTAAAAATGAACATTTCCATATAGCATATAGCACTTGGGTCCATTCAAATCTATCTGCTTTCTCTAAGCAGTGTGGTAAGACAATTTTCCATCCCCCTACGCCAACGCTGCTAGGAATAGGATGGATTTGTGATTGGGAGCTCTGGTCTCTGTCAACAGGGGTTGCTTCAGACACTAGTGCTACCATTGCAAAAACAGATCAAACAACTGGCAGCGCTGTGTGTCTATAAAGGCTGCTTCTTACACATACACAGCCCAGCCCATAAATGACACTGCTGCAGCTGTATGAGTTGTCCGTTTTATGAATGAAAGATTAGTGATGTTGGCACCAGCCTGCCATCACCGAACACTCATTCATAAAAAGTGAAAGCTTACACAGTGCTGCAGCGCTCTGTGATCCATCAGCCAGACTGTGCATGTGTACAAGCATAATAGTAAAAGAACATTCAGAGCTGCAGATCTGTGTAATGTATCCACATATGCTTGTACACACGCAGGGCAGATGCTTTAGCTCTGAATTACCGTATTTTTCGCTCCATAAGACGCCCTGACCATAAGACGCACCCTAGGTTTTAGAGGCAGAAAACAGGAAAAAAAAATTCTGAACTAATGGACTGCAGACATAGTACAGGAGATGACCAGAGACTGCGGACAGCACAGGGATGACCAGAGACTGCGGACAGCACAGGGATGACCAGAGACTGCGGACAGCACAGGGATGACCAGAGACTGCGGACAGCACAGGGATGACCAGAGACTGCGGACAGCACAGGGATGACCAGAGACTGCGGACAGCACAGGGATGACCAGAGACTGCGGACAGCACAGGGAGACCAGAGACTGCGGACAGTACAGGAGATGACTGCTGACCTTTGGGGAGGGAGGGGGAGAGCGGGTACCTGAATTTGACAGGTACCCGCTCTCTTCCGCAGAGTTTTTTTTTTATCTTACCTGTTCCTCGATCCAGCCGCGCGCTGTCTTCCCGGCTTCTGTAGTGTGGGCGCTCGTCGGACAGCCGGATGCCCAGTGCGCATGCGCGAGAAGCGCTGCGCTTTGTGATTGGTCCGGCGGCTTCTGGGATCTGTCATGTGTCCCAGGTACCGCCTTACCATTCACAAAGAGCACTGCTTCTTCCGCATGCGCACTTGGGACCCGGCTGTCACGCACACTACAGAAGCCGGGAAGACAGCGCACCGCTGATAGAGGGACAGGTAAGGTCCCACTGCAGAGCTGAGCGGCCGGCCCGGTATTCTGACACGGCGGCGGTGGAAATACCGGACCGGCCGCTCTATATTCGCTCCATACGACGCACTGACATTTCCCCCCCTTTTTTGGGGCAAAAAAAGTGCGTCTTATGGAGCGAAAAATACGGTACCTTTTACTATTATGAATGAACAAGCAGCACTGATTGTACATTCATACAAGTGGCAGGTCACTTAGCTAAGAGAGGGGTCAGAATTCAGTGCTGGCTATACCTTTCCCTACAGGAACGCCCATAATTTGGACTTCAAAAAGGGGTGTAGATATAGCCAGCATTTGGAGGTATGTTTAGGGGACTTCTATTGCTGCCTGTGCTCAGTAGATTCACCCTTTCTGTTTTTCCTTTTGACCAACTGTGACAGGGACAAGAAGTCATAGAAAGTCTAAAAGTTATTTGTCATCTGAACAGGAATAGAAGATAAATCTTCCAGTGGGGACACCTGTCCTAGTAAAAATTGTCAACGAAGAAGACCTTTCCTCTCATTTTCTGTTTTATACATACACAGTCAAAGAAAAACCTGACAGGAGTTTTACCCTTTCCTTACTGTATTTAAAAGTAAAACGTTTTAGCGTTGTATATTGGTCTGGGTTCTGTTACATTTCCTGCGATGTACAGTATATCTAATCAGTGTTACAAAATGCCCTTTTATTATTGCCCTTTTAATATTCTCTGTAAAAGTAAAAGGTAGAAAATAAAAATACCCAGGCAAATAGTTTTTTTTTTTTTTTTTTTAACTTTTTTTTTCTCTAAATCATACTCTTTCATACAAAAACAGTGCATAGTTTTGTGTATACATTTTGTCATTATATTGTATTGGAATATCTGTATTAAATGTATGAAATTCTATGTTATGTTTATCTGCAAAAAAGTCTCTTGTAACACTTTAAATATGCTATAGAGCCTCTAATAAGGCATGTGTAATTGGCAAAATAATCAATTGCAGTGGAAAAGCAGGGTGTTGCTGCAAATGAATAAGCTATTGAAATGACTAAATATGACCATTTTAATCTGAACTCAAGCCACAGTAAGTTTATCAGTCTGTAACATCATATTCAGCTTAGGTCCCTAATAAAAACTTTGCTCTTATACAATCAATAGATGCCACTCATTACTTTAATGAACTGGCAGACTGATTAGTGAACATCCTCTTGTAAGCCTAAAACTTGCCTTATGGCTACTCGTGATACTTATTTGCACACCTGCTGTTGCAGTGCAAACAAGAGATTGTAGTTTGATACATTGTGGCTATATTACAGATTTGTTTCCTGCAAAGAGGCTACATTGTTTTTTTTTAATTAGTGCCACCATGATTGCCTGTGCATGCCTTGTTATTGTGTGATTTTGGGAACCTGAGGCCAGACATTAAACCTTATGTTCACATGTTTTGTGCATTTTGTTTTAGAAGTAATTGTGTTTTCTGTCCCCACAGTTTCCCTCATGCCACCTACCAGACATTGCTTGCCAAATTCAAGCAGCAGCATGAGGAAAATAAGTATTTTGTGGGAACACCTGTCATGGAGCCTGCGTTCATCATTCGTCATTTTGCAGGCAAAGTCAAGTACCAGATCAAGGTCAGCATTTAGGTTGTATTGTAGTTGGGTTGACTGGGGTATTTTTTGTTTTTAGATGCCCATGAAATTACCTTGCATCTACCAATTGGCTTACTGTGTTGGGTCAGCATAGTGCTTGTAACCATGCTTGAGCTTCTTAATTGATGGATTCCTAACCTAAAGGAGTTAAGGTTGGCTATACTTTGTTTTCTCTTGTTCAGTCCAGGACACTTGTGGCTACGTGATTACCTGAACAGTGACTGCATCTGACTTCAATCGACTATTCGAGCCAGGTGGTTTCAACAGGGCCACCCATGGCATGAATTTTGCCCAATTCTGCTGAAAATTGAGCTGTGTATGGGCAGCTTAGGGGACAAATGCAATTTTCACCTAGATAAAATTAGATTATTACAATATGGCTTTTGTAACAATTATATATGCAATATTATAAATTTTTTTATTTGCTATTTTTTCCCCATGAAAGTGGAGTTACCATTTAAGAATAAGTCAGATGGGATAAGTTTCTTGGCTTTTAAAAAATATATTTGCATGAGGTTTCTGTTTTTAAACCAGATGTACAGTATATCAAGTGACTATAATGGGAAAAAAGAGCATAGAGTGTTTTCGTTAATTCTCCAGATATATTTTTTACTTGTGAAGAATTACTTTAATCCCAACAAATAACCTCTGGATTTTCAAATACTTTCAAGAACTTTTTACAGTTAAAACAAGTGTCCCGTTTCCCTTTATGTAGGATTTCCGTGAGAAAAATACAGATTACATGAGGCCCGATATTGTTGCTCTCCTCCGAAGCAGCGACAGTGCTTACATCCGTGACTAACTAATTGGAATGGACCCAGTGTCTGTCTTCAGATGGGCTGTATTGCGAGCTGCAATTAGATCCATGGCAGTGCTCAATGAGGCAGGCAGACAGCATGCAGAGAAGACAGCAGGTATATAACACATTAAATCTCCTCTGTATCTTCCATGCTTTTAACTATATTACCTGTACAAACTGAAAACTGAATTTGCTTTTACTAATAACCTCTGAAACTTCATATATTTTATCTATTTTCTGAGCTTGTCTACCTGTACTTATTTTTAATACATTATTGTTCTGCACAAAGGGTCTTATTACAAATCGCTCTTTGGATAATTCTTCCTCACATGGTTTTGGCTTTATTAGAGAATAGCAAGGTCATGGAGAGCATGTTTAATAGAATGTACACAAAGAAAGAATAACATACCTTTTTAAAAAAAAAAAAAAAAAAGTTAACTTTGGTTTCCTCCTTTACTCTAGGTGTGGTACGAAAAGGACCTAGAATCCCTTTAGGAGAGTTGCAGAAGTCAAACACTGCTGTGGATAAACTATACCGGTAAGCCGTTAAATATTTAGAACATTTATGATGTTGGGCAAGCTCTGCCCTTATTGAGGTGAATTAGAGATCTATATTACTCCTTTCCATCGTTGTTATGCGATGTACCGAGTCGCAGGCTCAAGAGTACCAGCCTGTGCTGTGTGTCATGATATTTGTATAACACTGCACATTGGTTGTTAGTGACTGAATTAAATACTTGACCTGGTCTTTAAAAGTGAAGGATAGCTGTAACTAGTTTTAAAGGCATACCTCTTTGTAGATGTGTCTGCTAAACTTCCTACACAAAATATTTGGTTAATAAACCAGAATGTTAGAACTAGTCATGTCTCAGTTGTAAACTGTGTATGCGTAATTATGTATGCTGGCTTTATTTAAAATGTGTCAGTGCTGAAAATGGAAACTTTTATGGAGTTTATTTTCAGCTTTTATAGATTGATGTTTTATATATCCTAGTTTGTCAGAATTGTGAATAAACATATTGTCTTTTAGTTTATCCAACAGAATTACGGACAGGAAGCGTGTCATACATAGATAACTTTATTATTAGGTAGCAGTTCCCAGTAGTTCCCAGTCTGTCCTATAACAATAGCATATTGTATACAAAAAATGCTTAACTCTGGTCTCTTGACATGTTACTTTGTACCTGAATGTTTATTTCCCATTTAAATATAGCAGACTTGCTTTGCTGTATGGTAAAGTCCAAAGCTATATAGTGTAGTAATACTCCTAAACCGTGTTCTAGAAATAAACCTTCATATACACATTTAATGTTCTATGTCTTACTGGGGATTACCTGTACTCCACCTTTAGCCACTCTCTCCTCGATTTCTCCTTTGATTGCTCCGTGGATTATGATATAGATGTGTTTGAAGACATCCTAAATATATATGAAACCAAAAAAGTAAGTGCTGGGGTTGACGCAATACTTTTTTGTCCCAAAGTCATGCAGCTTACTGTGCTCCAAAAAAAAGTGTCTTGATGTTAGTTTGACTCTAAAAGCTCAAAAATCTGTTCTGATGTGGGCTTCTTTGTACTTTTATATTTATCTGGGATTTTGTTTTCCACTTAATTTTTTTTTTTTTAATTTTAATCTCATGCCAAGTACAGCATGACGTAAAATGAACTGTGCCATTATTTAATGCCAAAACTAATGTAAGGTTTTTTTCCATTCTCACTTGGGGCACTTAAGCTGCATGCGGGGAACAGGGGATTAACACTGCGTCACACTGCATGAATTTATGTGCCCATCACCAACTAACTGTCCAGTTTTTGGGGTTGCAGTGTTCTTTGGGGCACTGGGTTGTTTCTTCTTCTGCTTATGAAGTTGTATGTCTTGTCTTGGTTTAGGCACACTATATGTTCCAGTGTAATTCACAAATTTAATTTTTGTCGTCTTGTTATATTTCTGTCATCTTTTTTGGTGGTGCTAATACATTATATGCAGTTTGATTTCCCCCAAAACCTACACTCTTAAAATAAAAGAGAAATAAAGCCTGTTGACATAAATATGCTGTCGTATACATATATTGTATACTTGTGTTTTAGTGCTTGGTGATAGGCTGCCTCTATGTAATTAGTAATCATATAGTAGTTTTAGCTGGGCAGTCTGTAATTTCTAATCTGTATCTCCTCCTGACACTGGCAGAGAGCGACATTCTCAGCTGATGAACAGTATAAAGGGACTCTCCTGGCAGGGGGATGACCCATCCAATGTACTGCGCACCCTTTCCCTACGCAGGCACTCGCGGCTCCACTTACAGTGAGTGTGCAAAGGAGTTCATGACCATCAAATGACTGAGGTTACATCACAGATAGAAGTGCTGGCATCGTGTATTGCAATGTGCATCATGTTTGCTAAAAGAAAAAAAAAAAAAGACTGCTCTGTAGCAAAAAATTGCTGTGCATTAATGCCAACTTGTCAAAATAGGTGCAACTGATTTTATAGTATTCTCTGTAGGCTAATTGTTTGTCTTTGTAATTTTGTAATGTGTGTTCTTGATGTTTTGATATGTAGTTACAAATGTTTGCCAAAACATGCACTGTTTTAACACTGATAATTAGCACCTTTTCGCTGGTCTAACAGTGCGTATATTCAATGTTCTTTTTGCACTAAAAACTATCATACAGTTGTGACCAAAATTATTCAACCCCCACTGAAATTGAGTGTTTTGGCCAGTTTGACATTGCTTTTGATCATTCAGTCATCTTGCTTACATTTACATTAAAGAGGCACTTGTAGGTCAGACAAATATATAACATAACAGTTATAATGAAATAACCACAAATGTCTTTTCTGTGCTCACAGCATTATCAGTTTTATTCAACCCCCAAGTGACATTCAATCTTAGTACTTAGTACAGCATCCTTTTACAGTTATAACAGCTTTTAAACGTGAAGCATAGCTTGACACAAGTGTCTTGCAGCGATCTACGGGTATCTTCGCCCATTCTTCATGGGCAAAGGCCTCCAGTTCAGTCACATTCTTAGGCTTGCGCACTGCAACTGCTTTCTTTAAGTCCCACCAGAGGTTCTCAATCGGATTTAAGTCTGGTGACTGCGATGGCCACTCCAAAATGTTCCAGCCTTTCCTCTGCAACCATGCTCTAGTGGACTTGGAGGTATGCTTGGGATCATTGTCCTGTTGAAAGGTCCAACGTCTCCCAAGCCTCAGGTGTGTGACGGACTGCATCACGTTTCCATCCAATATCTCCTGGTACTGAAGAGAATTCATGGTACCTTGCACACGCTGAAGCTTCCCTGTACCTGCAGAAGCAAAACAGCCCCAAAGCATGATTGACCCTCCACCATGCTTCACAGTAGGCAAGGTGTTCTTTTCATCATAGGCCTTGTTCTTCCTCCTCCAAACATAGCGTTGATCCATGGGCCCAAACAGTTCTAATTTTGTTTCATCAGTCCACAGAACACTATCCCACAACTTTTGTGGTTTGTCCACATGGCTTTTGGCATACTGCAGTCGACTCTTCTTATTCTTTGGAGACAGCAAGGGGGTACGCCTGGGAGTTCTGGCACGGAGGCCTTCATTACGCAGTGTGCGTCTTATTGTCTGGGCTGAAACTTCTGTACCCACATCTGACAAATCTTTTCTCAGTTCCTCAGCAGTCACACGGGGACTTCTCTCCACTCTACGCTTCAGGTAGCGCACAGCAGTCGAAGTCAGCATCTTCTTTCTGCCACGACCAGGTAGCGTTTCAACAGTGCCCTTTGCCTTGAATTTGCGAATGATGCTTCCTAAGGTGTCTCTTGGTATGTTTAACATCTTTGCAATCTTCTTATAGCCATTGCCCTTCCTGTGAAGAGAAATCACCTCTTCTCTTGTCTTCCTGGACCATTCTCTTGCCTTCACCATGTTTGTAACCACACCAGTAAATGTCTAGAAGGAGCTGAGTATCACAGTCATTTTAAAGCTGCCTAATTGGTGCTTATTATGCTTGATTGCTGCTCGGTGACATCCACAGGTGTTTTCAATACCTGATGGAAAGCACCTGTATGAACCTCTGTTCTTCAGAGTGGTAGTCTTTAAGGGTTGAATAATTGTGGCAATGAAGAAACCACATAAGAACCATTTACTACTGTATTACATAAACAATTGATGTCATTTTAGTTGCATTTGGGTAGTTACAACGTCCTTGTAGGATTTGATTCTGAATACAATTCCAAATGTACACTATAGTCCCTAAACCCCTTTACAGCATTGGGGGTTGAATAATTTTGGTCACAACTGTAGTTCTAACTGGTCATGCTGGCTAACTGCAACTGGCTTACTAACTGCAACTGGCTTATCACATAAATCAGGAGTTATGGGGGAAGAACGGGATTTGTTTATAACTTTGACATCTATTATTTTCATAGGAAATCTAAAAGTGGCCGCCAAAAGCAGCTGATTCCAAAGGTAATGAGGACATTTGTTTTATCCTTCATATGACAAAAAAATACAAAACTGTTTTTTCATTCAGCATTAATAAGTAGTAAGCTTCAATTATTTATTTATTATTTTTTATTCCTCTCACTTTGTGCTTGGGTGCACACATGCGCGCGCGCACATACACACACACTTGCTTTTTTCTTTGGCTGTAAGCACCAAGCTGTGTGCAGGGCCCTGGGAAAAGCAATAAGCCAATCTGCTGAGCAAAGGGAGTTGGACATTCCGTAGCATTCCAGTTGCATGGAAGAAATGTAAGAGTTTTTTTGTGCTTTAGCTCAGCAGAGGATTCCTAAAACAAGCATGTGCAAGTCTGACTTCTATCACAAATCCAAAAGACATTTTAGGATCGTGGTGGAAGCATGTAAAAAATGTTTTTATAGACCATCTAAAGCCCGATATTACAATGCAACTTATTCCAAAATGCATGCAACCTTTTCAGGCTAGGTGGCCATCATTAATGCAGTTTATGGCAATCAGGAGCAAAATAGAAAGACCTGCTTGGCTTTGCCCACTAACATGAAAATAAACCCCTTATTTTGTTATTGTGATAGAAGGCAATCATATCTTCTTGTTTAAGACTGCCCCACTGTTTTTCTCACTAATGTAGTGGAGGGATTATTTTTTGTTTTCAAATCCGCTTCACCATAGCCTGACTAGTTATACTTCCTAACTGGTGACCTCAGATTAAAATGGAAAGGTCCTTGTTTAATAGTGTTAAGTTACAAAATGATTTGTGCTACAGTTATATAATACATATATATCTAAGTGGAGTGGATATAGCATTCCAAGGCTAAAAGCAGTATTAAACCCAAAAACATTAATTTGGTGATCTTAATAGTAACACACTTCCTGTCTTAGGATGTCTGCATTCTGGATGAAGTAGTAAAGCAGACTCCTTTGGACAACAGCATTCTCAGTCTGTGGGGAGGGTAGTGTTAGACCATCTTTCTCAACCTTCAGTACACAGAAAAACCCTTGAAATAACTTTCCGCTTTCAGGGAAACTCTGGTAAAAATTACTAGATCTACAACTCATGACACACTAGTGTGATGATCAGTGGGAAGAATGCTCTGTACACATGTGGTAATTGGGGAAAAAATTACCCCCTTACAGATGGCTAAAAATATCAATGGTGTCAGTGGGAAGCGCTATAGAGTACTGAACCGGCTAGCAATGAGTTCAAATCTCAGTCCCATAGAGCACCTGTGGAGAGATCTCAAATGGCAGTTAGGAAAAGGAACCCTTTTATTTGAGAGACCTGGAGCAGTTGGGTGAAAAAAGAAGAATGGTCCAAAATTCCAGTAGAGAGGTGTAAGAAATGTAATTGATGGTTACAGAAAGCGACTGAGTTCAGTTATTTTTTCTTTGTGGGATGTGCTACCAAATATTAAATTGACGGTGCCAATCATTTTGTCCAGACCATTTTTGGAGTTTTGCGTGGAATGTGTCAGATTTGAATGTTTTTTTTTTTTGTTTTTTTTTCTTGTTTTTTTTTCCTCCACTTTTTTTTTTGTGTCATACCATTACAAACAAAAGAAATAAACATGAGAATGCTTAAACAGTTTTCTGGGCGAAGTGGTACATTATCTGACAGAAATGCAGGGGCGCCAATAATTTTGGCCATAACTGTAGATGGCCTTTACAAATTGAAGCTGAACTCCAGCTAACACTTTATAGGAGTTACAGAAAACCGTTTTTTTGGTTTTTTTTTCCTTTTGGGATATAGGTTTTACATAAATGAATAAATGGTGACCGTTGTAAGCATCCCTGTCAATGTTAAATGGTTTTGTCTCAACTGTCTAACTGCTTCTTTATCTGAGCCAGCTTGGTAATGGGTATACTGCAGTTTAATACATGTTTGTTTTGGGGTTTAATATGCTTTAAGCATCTGAAATATTTTGATTCTCAAACTGTACGTACCATTTCTGTGTCAATTAATTCACACTGTATATGCAGAACCTGCTTGATTCACAATCTCTGAAATTAATAATGAGCATGACTCTACATGATCGAACTACCAAGTCTCTCCTTCACTTGCACAAGAAAAAGAAACCACCCAGTATAAGTGCACAATTTCAGGTATGCTGCGATTAAACAGTGTATATATTTTATGTGCTTTTTATATTTTATTTTCATTTAGCTTGTTTTTAGTGGTATCGTGTACTGTAGTTCCACTTTAAAATGTTCTGTATTACCAATTTTGCTTTTATCCTTTTTTATTAATGTTTAATTTTAAGTTGAAACTTTTTTTATCTCATGCACTACTCCCCTTATATTTTTTTACAAATATGTGTGCATCTCTTGTAGGCATCATTGAACAAGCTTTTAGAAACACTAGGGAAAGCCGAACCTTTCTTCATTAGATGCATCCGCTCGAATTCTGAAAAGGTATGCATATGAGTCATTGATGGTGATATTGTAAATCTTACAACACAGACATTTTAGACATTTATGAAGGCCCTTTGTGTCTTCCACTCGGCACAAAATCAGCTCCATGGTTTGAGTATGGCGTGTAAGGAGCTCAGGTGGCCTTCATGCAGCCCTGACCTCAACCCTATTTGAATGCATTTGGGATGATCTTTTGACTAAAGGGCATGGAACCTCTATATGATGATGTTTGGTTTTATTGTTGTGGACTGACTTATTTTTATTGTTTATGGACTGGCTCTCAGCAATTTATTTCGCAAATTATCAGAGCTTGCAATCATGGAAGATATGTGAACATTATTCATCTCACTTTTGGAATTTTACTAGATGGAAATGACCTTTGATGAAGTTCTGGTACTTCAGCAACTTCGATACACTGGAATGCTGGAAACTGTGAGGATCCGGAGATCTGGATATAGTGCAAAATACCCCTATCAGGTAATTGGGAATCCCATTTCTCAATCAAATGTCAGTACTGTACCGCGCTCCAAATATATACAACTCTCAATAATAATACAAATCCAATTTTCTATAATAATGTTATTAAATGACTCCGTGTGTCTTCAATATATCAGTAATTAAATATATTAATCCAACCAAAAATTATAATTGATAACACCATTAATTCATATATAAAAAGTGAAAAAGATGAAAAAATATATTGTGCATATAAAACCAGAATAAATATATATGGAAATGACAATTCAGTTCATCAGAGATGCGATGGTATTTAAAGTTCAAACTAATCTGTATGATGGATCAGTGTTCACAGCCGTGAACCTCTCCCTCCTTTCTTCTCTCCTCTCCAACACAGCCTCCTCAATAGAACTTTCTCCACTGGCTGCTTATTCCTCCATGCTCGATACATATAAAGAGAGAAACAGAGACATAGTGTCTTATCCGGGATAAAAGTTATTTATTTAAAGCTATTGGTTTCCCACTCACATGCTCCAAACAAAAGTAGCGCTTTGTGTGCAAATGTATCCAAAAAGTATCCAAATCCTACTATACAACCAGCCTTGCAGGTGTGTCTGCCTTCACTGAATGTGCTTGCCGTTCCTCCGTGGATGCGTGATGACGTGACCGCCCCTCCCCTACGCGTTACGCTACAGGGACTCGTAGCTTCCTCTGGGGGATGTAGTTTATCATGTCATCATGCACTGAGGCTATTTATATTCTACCGGCGCCATTTTTGCTGTGATTTATATAATCCTCATTCCTCCTCCATATTCTTGTAGTCCAATATATATCTCAATGTTATCTATTATACATATGAACAAGAGTGCGTCTCGGCATCCTACGGTTGCACATTCAATGCTACCAAACACACCCTTCACAATTCGGATTACAATATCATTTGGTAGCATTGAATGTGCAACCGTAGGATGCCGAGACGCACTCTTGTTCATATGTATAATAGATAACATTGAGATATATATTGGACTACAAGAATATGGAGGAGGAATGAGGATTATATAAATCACAGCAAAAATGGCGCCGGTAGAATATAAATAGCCTCAGTGCATGATGACATGATAAACTACATCCCCCAGAGGAAGCTACGAGTCCCTGTAGCGTAACGCGTAGGGGAGGGGCGGTGACGTCATCACGCATCCACGGAGGAACGGCAAGCACATTCAGTGAAGGCAGACACACCTGCAAGGCTGGTTGTATAGTAGGATTTGGATACTTTTTGGATACATTTGCACACAAAGCGCTACTTTTGTTTGGAGCATGTGAGTGGGAAACCAATAGCTTTAAATAAATAACTTTTATCCCGGATAAGACACTATGTCTCTGTTTCTCTCTTTATATGTATCGAGCATGGAGGAATAAGCAGCCAGTGGAGAAAGTTCTATTGAGGAGGCTGTGTTGGGGAGAGAGGAGAGAAGAAAGGAGGGAGAGGTTCACGGCTGTGAACACTGATCCATCATACAGATTAGTTTGAACTTTAAATACCATCGCATCTCTGATGAACTGAATTGTCATTTCCATATATATTTATTCTGGTTTATATGCACAATATATTTTTTCATCTTTTTCACTTTTTATATATGAATTAATGGTGTTATCAATTATAATTTTTGGTTGGATTAATATATTTAATTACTGATATATTGAAGACACACGGAGTCATTTAATAACATTATTATAGAAAATTGGATTTGTATTATTATTGAGAGTTGTATATATTGGAGCGCGGTACAGTACTGACATTTAATATATACATCCATACACCTGGAGAGGGTGTAATAAGTACCTAGCGATCTAATATATTTTAATTTCATAAAGAAATTATTTAAACACTTGATTAATTAATTAGAAAGTATCCCAGTAATTCACAATAATCATATGATTATCATATAAGCACATAAATATTTTAAGTGTAAGAATACTTCTAGTGGCTCACAAGTATTTATTTTAATTCCCATTTTCTCAATCTATACTTAGAATTGTCTTCTGTATTGCAGCTAAAATTCCATGTGACATTCTTTACTTGCTTTTCTTTTACTTACTAGGAATTTAAAGACCAGTTTCAGGTGCTGCTACCTAAGTCATCTACGGATCTGAAAGCAGACATCACATCCCTGCTGAATAGACTGTGCTTTGATCCACATAACTACCAGCTGGGAAAAACAAAGGTTGGAATATATACATTTTTTTTTTAGTTTTGTGGCTTTTGCTTCACCTGCTTGCAGGTTGGTTGCTGGATAAAGACTATTGGACTCCTTAGAATAAACCTGTCACAAACCAGCTATGTGATGCAAAAATGCATAAGCAGAAATTACCTTCAGTTAAAAGGATCAATTGATCCAGAGAAGCAGGCAAATGAGTTTCTCCATAACCTGTACAAGCTGGCACTGGCCTCACCAGTTGATCCTCTTACTACCAACTCTGTAATTATTATGCTGGAGCAGTACAAAGCTGTAAAGCCCACAACATCACATTTGACAGCTAGATTTTCTCTATTTAAAATGGATCCAGGCAGTTACAAAGCTGGGATGTGGGGGCAGGGGTCATTATCTCATAGGGATGCTTAGGAGATGGTACATTGTGGGACCAAGCTCAAACTTAACAGGAAATGTTGAGATTTGCGTACATTCAGCTATCTATATCTCTGAATCTACTTATCTTTTTGACAGGCAGATTTCAATTAAGGTCACTCAAAATATATGGTCACTGAAAATATAAAATCGTTTTCTGTTAAATGGAACAACAAAAACTAAATTAAACAAAATATTATTGATTTTCAGGTGTTTATGAAGGAGCCAGAGAGGCAAAAGCTGCAAGATACCCTTCACCAGGCTGTTATCAAGAAGATCATCCTGCTGCAGAGTCTATTTCGCATGGTTGTTGACAGGAGGAACTTCCTGAGGATGAAATCGGCAGCAGTCACTATACAGGTAATGTGATATTCATTTGTACTCTTTCAAGCTGAACTGAACCTTCAGTTTAAGTCAGATAAATATATTCCAAGTACACCCAAAACAAAATGTGTGGAAAGTCTTACATTTAATTTACTTTAGGAAGCAGTCAAACCCTGAGTAGGAAAGCCTGTCCGTTGCCATCATGCTTATGAAAAAGACCCTTGCCCTTTGTACAGAAGCAGCAGTCTCTCTGCAGGTCACAGCTTTCCAATCAGTAGAGTTCACTCTCCCTGCTGATTGGGGAGCTATAGCTCTGACTTAGCAGTAAGTGTCAGACCTCTGCAGAGAGACCACTGCTTTCACTCAGAGAGCGTATATCCTCCTGTGCTGCATTCTGGCAGAGGGCAGGCTTTTCTATTTAGGCTTTGGCTGATTTTGGCAAGGAACTTAACTATAAGACTTTGCACAGCCTTTGTTTAAATGCTTGATATGTATTTGGATGATATAAACAGAACGTTCAGTTGGGCTTTCACAATAAAATAGTCCCAAGCTTTTTATTTCATATTAAAAAACAAAACACTGTTACTGTGTCGGGGGCATTGCGGGAGGGTTTACTCGAATTCGACAGGTACCGCTCCCACTTCTGCTGCAATCGCCTAAGTGATCGGAAGCAGAAGTTGTCCTCTCGGAAGGTCCCAGAAGACTATGGGGTCATTCACAAAGCGCAGTGCTACTTGCGCATGTGCAGTGGGCACCCGGCTGTGAAGCCGCAAGCTGTCATAACCGGGTGCCCACACTGAAGATGCGCTGCCAGGGACACAAGATGGTTTAGCCAATTTTTTAAATTACATTGGACTAAAAATATCTGTCCTGATTTGAAAAGACATATCCTTATCCTGGTGTGTTAGCTTTGCGAATTAGGTCTATTAAATTCAGTTGGTTCTGTTCTCATGAAGTGGTTATATGCTGAGAGACAATTGCAGAAGCAGCATTTTAAAGGCATTTTCATTGCAAATTAAAGTGGAACATTAGTCAGAAAATTAAGTCCTGCTAGATGACTTCAGTTTAAACCCCTTTTGCAGGTATAGCTATGTAAACATTAAAAATAATTAATAAATAAATGACACCAGCCATTTGATGGTTTGACAGTTTGGTTGAGGACACAAGCAAACGTGACAGTTAGCAATCCTGGCATTCCAGGAATGTAACCGTTTTTTAAGTTGAATCGGTGGGTTTAGTTATGCTTTAGGCCTCATTCACACCGTACAGGCAGAAAAACGTGTGGAAACTGAAATTCACACTTCATTTGCAAAGACATCAGTTTACATTAGTTTTTTATGCGTGCTTTAATACGTTTTATACACATTGCAGATCCCTGCACAAAAAATAAATCTGGATGTGTCGTGGTGTGAACAGGGCACATAGAGAACAATTGATGCATATAAAAGTCCATAGAAGCCGTATGGGTAGAGCTTGGTGGATTGGAGTGGATCCTTATCCAATGATTTTAAATATATGTGCCTTTAATGTAGTTCAGGCTGAACTTTAATGGATAGATCCATCCACAGGGGCAGGCATATGGCATATATTGCAAAGTAGAAATGGCAAGCAGGAAGGCCATTATGTTGATAGGCGAGGAACTAGGAGCCTAAAAACTTCTGATAGGAAGACTCCGTAATTGGCAATAAAAAGACTGTTAGTTTTTTAGGAGCAGGAACACCATACTCAGAGCAGATAGAACACTTGAAATCATAAACCAATCAAGGGAATACACAAGTCAAAGAAACCAGAGGAAAACAGGACAGTCAAAGCGAACACCCTAGGTCGCACTAGAAGTCAGAGGAATTGATTAAAGAGAAAAGCAATAAGGATCTAGCTCAGGCATGTCCAAAGTCCGGCCCGCGGGCCATTTACGGCCCGAGGGTCGGTTTAATACGGCCCTCCATGTCAGTGTGTCAGTGTGTCTTATGGAGCGGCCGCGTCCGGTATTTCCACCGCGGCCGTGTCAGAATACCGGGCCGGCCGCTCAGCTCTGCAGCGGGACCTTACCTGTTCCTCTATCCAGCGGCGTGCTGTCTTCCCGGCTTCTGTAGTGTGGGCACTGGGCATGACAGCCGGGTGCCAAGTGCGCATGCGCAAGAAGCGGTGCTTTTTGTGAATGGTAAGGCGGTACCTGGGACACATGACAGATCCCAGAAGCCGCCGGACCAATCACAAAGCGCAAGTGCTTCTCGCTCATGCGCACTGGGCACCCGGCTGTCATGCCGAGCGCCATTACAGAAGCCGGGAAGACAGCGCGCGGCTGGATCGAGGAACATGTAAGATCAAAGAACAACTGCGGAAGTAAGAGCGGGTACCTGTCAAATTCAGGTACCCGCTCCCCACCTCCCCAAAGGTCAGCAGTCATCTCTACTGTCCGCAGTCTCTGGTCATCCCTGTGCTGTCCGCAGTCTCTGGTCATCCCTGTGCTGTCCGCAGTCTCTGGTCATCCCTGTGCTGTCCGCAGTCTCTGGTCATCCCTGTGCTGTCCGCAGTCCTGGTCATCCCTGTGCTGTCCGCAGTCTCTGGTCATCCCCTGTGCTGTCCGCAGTCTCTGGTCATCCCCGTGCTGTCCGCAGTCTCTGGTCATCCCCGTGCTGTCCGCAGTCTCTGGTCATCCCCGTGCTGTCCGCAGTCTCTGGTCATCCCCGTGCTGTCCGCAGTCTCTGGTCATCCCCGTGCTGTCCTCAGTCTCTGGTCATCCCCGTGCTGTCCGCAGTCTCTGGTCATCCCCGTGCTGTCCGCAGTCTCTGGTCATCCCCGTGCTGTCCGCAGTCTCTGGTCATCCCCGTGCTGTCCGCAGTCTCTGGTCATCCCCGTGCTGTCCGCAGTCTCTGGTCATCCCCGTGCTGTCCGCAGTCTCTGGTCATCCCCGTGCTGTCCGCAGTCTCTGGTCATCCCCGTGCTGTCCGCAGTCTCTGGTCATCCCCGTGCTGTCCGCAGTCTCTGGTCATCCCCGTGCTGTCCGCAGTCTCTGGTCCCCCGTGCTGTCCGCAGTCTCTGGTCATCCCCGTGCTGTCCGCAGTCTCTGGTCATCCCCGTGCTGTCCGCAGTCTCTGGTCATCCCCGTGCTGTCCGCAGTCTCTGGTCATCCCCGTGCTGTCCGCAGTCTCTGGTCATCCCGTGCTGTCCGCAGTCTCTGGTCATCCCCGTGCTGTCCGCAGTCTCTGGTCATCCCCGTGCTGTCCGCAGTCTCTGGTCATCCCCGTGCTGTCCGCAGTCTCTGGTCATCCCCGTGCTGTCCGCAGTCTCTGGTCATCCCCGTGCTGTCCGCAGTCTCTGGTCATCCCCGTGCTGTCCGCAGTCTCTGGTCATCCCCGTGCTGTCGCAGTCTCTGGTCTCTCTGGTCATCCCCGTGCTGTCCGCAGTCTCTGGTCATCCCCTGTCCGCAGTCTCTGGTCATCCCCGTGCTGTCCGCAGTCTCTGGTCATCCCCGTGCTGTCCGCAGTCTCTGGTCATCCCCGTGCTGTCTGTCCGCAGTCTCTGGTCATCTCTGGTCTCCCCCGTGCTGTCCGCTGTCATCCCCGTGCTCTCTCTGGTCATCCCCGTGCTGTCCGCAGTCTCTGGTCATCCCCGTGCTGTCCGCAGTCTCTGGTCATCCCCGTGCTGTCCGCAGTCTCTCTGTCCCCCGTGCTGTCCGCAGTCTCTGGTCATCCCCGTGCTGTCCGCAGTCTCTGGTCATCCCCGTGCTGTCCGCAGTCTCTGGTCATCCCGTGCTGTCCGCAGTCTCTGGTCATCCCCGTGCTGTCCGCAGTCTCTGGTCATCCCCGTGCTGTCCGCAGTCTCTGGTCATCCCCGTGCTGTCCGCAGTCTCTGGTCATCCCCGTGCTGTCCGCAGTCTCTGGTCATCCCCGTGCTGTCCGCAGTCTCTGGTCATCCCCGTGCTGTCCGCAGTCTCTGGTCATCCCCGTGCTGTCCGCAGTCTCTGGTCATCCCCGTGCTGTCCGCAGTCTCTGGTCATCCCCGTGCTGTCCGCAGTCTCTGGTCATCCCCGTGCTGTCCGCAGTCTCTGGTCATCCCCGTGCTGTCCGCAGTCTCTGGTCATCCCCGTGCTGTCCGCAGTCTCTGGTCATCCCCGTGCTGTCCGCAGTCTCTGGTCATCCCCGTGCTGTCCGCAGTCTCTGGTCATCCCCGTGCTGTCCGCAGTCTCTGGTCATCCCCGTGCTGTCCGCAGTCTCTGGTCATCCCCGTGCTGTCCGCAGTCTCTGGTCATCCCCGTGCTGTCCGCAGTCTCT